GTCGTGAGGCGGGCGGAGGGGGAATTGAGGCGGTGCGGGCGCTGCTGGCGCTAGGCAGGGGCGCTCTACTGGGGAGAAGAGAAGGCGCGAGCTGCGGGGCTCGCTTCTCCGGAGGGAATGGCGGATGCCGTGATCCGCAGTGGCGGCGAGATAGAGCCGGAGCAGCATCAGCGGACGGAGAAGACCAGCGCGGGCGTCCTCGGAGCGGAGAGTAACAGAGTAGGAGCCGCTGAGGACACCACACAAAATGGCGGACGCTCTGAGAGCGGTAGCGATGGGGAGGCGCTGCTTGTGGCTGCTGTTGCTGCAGAGGACAAGGTCCCCACAAACCTCAGCATCAGTAGCAGTAGCCAGCGCAGGAGCAGCATCTCGACGGCAAATGAACAGCAGCAGCAGCCGCCCAGCGGTGTATTTGGGGGGCCGCCCCCTCTCCCTAAGCCCCCAGAAGACCAGCAGCCTTTTAGGAGGAATTTTCACATCCCCAGGAAGAGCAGAGAAAAGAAAGGTTGTTCCTTCCCTTCCCCTCCCTTTTCTTCCTCGCTCCCTTATCCATCTGATTCATCAGGCAGCTCTCAGACACCTCACACGGCTGCATGCAAACCCTGCGGTGTGGAGGAGGCTCTGCTGGCTCTCACTTGCGAGGCTGCTGGGGAGCCGATTTTAGTGTCAGGCTTTTACATTCTTTCCCTACCCCTTCTCTTTCCTTTCTCACTTTTATTTTCTCACGAGGATGAAACAAAACCAAAACAAAAACTCGGCTTGAATTTCAGACCTCTGCTTTAAAACGAGGAGAAGCTGGATGCAATCAGGGTTGGCTTGAGTTGATCTCAGCTCTGCTTCTGGAGGTGCATTCGCATGTGGAGAAGATGTTTCTTTGAGACGCCGACATCAGCGAAGATGGTTCGCTTGTCTCTTCCCCTTGACCTCCTCCGTGCGAGAGAGGGGTATAATCCTGCTTAGTACAGACTAAGCAAACACAGCAGTTATCCTTCATTGATGATACGCAGAAGACTCCTTCTTATCTGGTGAAAGTTCTTTGCAGGGATGAAGGGAGCATCCCACATTCTCGTGCCTCGCTTTGGAAGCGTTCTGCTTCCAAATATCCAGGGTTTTTTTTTTTTTAAGTAACTCTTCCTTTAAAAGCTTGTGGTATTTCTTGCTTTTCACAAAACTCCACTGGTTTCTGCTTCACTTGGTTTTTGTTAAGTGGAGTTGAAGACATGTCTGATTTCCTCCCTGAAGTTTCTTAGTTCTTGCCCTTTTGCAATATGGAGTCAGTAACTTAGTCCATGTCACAGAAATACTTGTTTGAATAGGCTTGTTCTTCAGAGAAGAGAGTAACATCTTCTTGAAATGCTTTCTTCTGTAAGGAAGAGATGAAGGTAGGTTTATTTCATTATCCAGTCTTTTCTTTCCAGTAATAAAATAATTCCTTTTGGCAGTAATGACCCCTTTTTCTTCCTGGTCTTTGCTGTTACCACCCTGCTCTGGGGTAATACAAGTCTGGCAGAGATTCATTGTAAAAAGAACCGGGTTGATTTGGAGAAAAAAATCTTTTATAATTCATCTGACAGAAAAATACCTGGTGCCTCGTGAATAACTGAAGTGTCTTGTATGTCACACCCAAGTGTGGTTACATGTGAATACCTTTAAATGTATTTCAGAAATGTTTAGTACTTAACCAACGATATTTGAAGTTCTTCTTTAGCATTTAGTTCTAATGTGAATGAAAGCCTGCAAAATACCTTTTCAGGTCCTCTGGTTCATCATTTGCCTATGCAGAGCCATCTGCAGTGTGCAAGAAGTTTTGGATTGTATAGTTCAAACCTCAGGCTTCTGTGGCCTCTAAGGTAGAAGACGAAGCCATTCTTTACCTTACTTCAAAAACTGACTTGCTAATGTCAAGGGCATTTGATCCGTTCTTACCTTTTTTCCTTTTGGCCTGTAGAAAGGCTCTCAGGTATTTTGATCATTCTGATGACGTAGAGCTTCCAAAGCTCTCAAAGCAGACCCTGCTCCATTCAGCCCACGGTGCCTGTGGGATTGCAGCTGCTGAGTGTTGTTCTCACAGCATGGACTGCCAAACGTGCAGTTTGAGGACAACCAAATTGATACTGGGATTTGTATTGAAAAATGATGCAATTCAGTCAGTTCTGGAATTAAACTGGAAGATCAGCACTGCATGGATCATCTGATGATGAAGTGGCACGTGCTTGCAACATCTTTATTGCTAGTGCTTAAATACATCTTGTTAAGTTGCAGAATAATCTGAATGTCCCCAGTCCCTCTGAAAAGAGCTCTCTTGGCGTGATTCTAAAGCCCAGCATGAAGCAATACACATGGAAGCTTTCACCGTCATTCCTTGCCTTAGAATTGTCCTTGTTTTGCTTTTTAAACCACAGTTTCTGTCCTGGATATACCATCCTGAGAGAGAGCTGCTGCCTTGATTGTGAAGTCTTAGTTGCTATGTACAAAGTATGTACAGGATGACTTTGTCAGAGGTGTTCGAGTTTGTTTGGAAGTTGGTTGTTTAGGTGGATTTTTTAATTTTTTTACACCAA